ACTACCTTTTGTACCAATCTCTGGATGATCAGAACACAGCTTTGCTAGAGCAGTTGCTTGACTTAACTGATTTGTTTTGATTAGATGTTTAATTCTCATATCCAACAAGATGGGACCCTCAAAAGCTAAAAATTCATTCACTTTAAAAAACAAGACATAATAGATTATTAACATTAGGTAATAATTCATTCGCAAGACAAATATTTTTAAGGAATTTTTTTTAAATACAGGAACTAAAACTTTTTTTCCATTTTCTGCTATTTCCAATAAGGCTATCACGAATTATTTAACTGTAAGCAAGAAGAGGTATATTGCTAACTTTTCAAAGATGAATTGAATTTTTGCCCCTTAAAAGTATGAGGTGAATAAATTACTTAATAATAAAAATAATTCTGCACTAAATTCTAATAGTTATTAAAATGATATGAAATTCTATCTATATCAGTTATTTTTGAATAATTATGGGTCACCATCCTAAAATTTGTAATGTTAGGGCTTTACAAAATTATATGGACAACCATGAAGGATATGTGAATATTCTAGATAAATTCAACTAATATCTTGTTCAACATTAATGATGAATGCTTAATTTCAGAAAGGTTATTGTTTTTTAAATAGATGCTTTAGAATGACTTAAAATATCTACAGAAAAAAAAAATACAAGGGAAAAGTTTGCCAAAGAACAAATCCTTTAAAATTGTGGGTCTGTGTTATTTTTAAAGTATCATTCAATAAATCTCAATACATACCTAAGACACATTTAAGCATAATAAATTTCTATTCTGTTCAAATCTGTGAATTTCCTAGTGCTTTTCAGTCATCTACAAATAGGAATTAATTTTTATTTTTTCTGTTTATGAAAGATAATTCAAGTTTTAGCAATTTAAACTTTAACAATTCCAAATTTAAGCTTTTCCCTAAGTTTTCATTATCAGGATGGAGATCATCTTAAAACATTTATTTGCTGATAATTACCCTGAAACTTTTGAAAACCTTTTAGTAATAAAATATAAAATGCCTTATAAAACATTATTTTTCCTACTTGCGAAGAGACTAGAGGATACATCTAAAAGTTTGGATGCTTTCTTTCTTTAAAGACCCCAAGCTCTTTTCTAGCACTTGTATTTTTACATCTAATTATATTACACATTAGTATGAAAATATTTTCTATCAAGCAGTATGACCATAGCTTTTCAATATTAAAACCATGAATCTGTAATATAACACAGGATCCCAAATTTTACCCTTTTCTTGAAGTCTAGGCCTCTGTACCTACTGCTCTTTACTGTTTAGACTAAACCTAAAAAGAACTGTAAAGATTGAACACACATAAATAAATGTGGACATTTCTGATACTTCTATCTTACTAAGATACATGGCACTACTTCTTTAACATCAAATGATCCTATTACAGGATGACGTGATGGTGAATCTTGATCTCATCTTGACTAAATTCAGTGGTATCTAGATGTGATTAGTTTGTGAGGATACTAGCTTCATCAATGGACTAACCTATTGATGAGTTAGTTCATAGCAGCATGTGCTAATAGGATGTAGGGCCTAGTTGGAGGAAATAGGTTCATGTGGGTTTGGCTTTGAGTGGTGTCTTTTCTTGGGCCTTTTCCCTCTCTCTCTGCTTCCTGGATCCATGAGGTAAGCAGCTCTCCTTTATAATAATGCTCTCCACCATAATTTTTCTTCCTTGTACCCAAATGGTCATAGACTGAAACCTCTGAGTAAAAATAAAACTTTCTTCCTCTAAGCTGACTTTCTCAAGTAGTGACAAAAATCTGACCAACACAGAAAATTATACTGCAAATATCTTTTCACAGTTCAGTTTTACTACCAAAGCAAAATTTGGGAAGATTTTAAATCAAAGATTTAAGAGAAACTAAAAATAGGGTCATTTTGATAGCAGCTGACATTTTAAAAAAGATTTATTTTCCTAATTCTCTCAAAAGGAAACAATTCTCTCAATACTCTCACAAAAATTCACAATTAACAGAATTTGACAAATCATGGCAAACAAATTTTAAAGGCAGTAACTATCTAACAAAATGGTGGCGCTTCTGAAAGCTATGTCAAATAGTCACTAAAAATCTCAATAGCAGCATGTAAGTTAGAATGAAAAACTTCAAATGTTTGAGCTAAATCATTACACTGAAGGAATATTTATTAAGTTTCAAAACCATAAGTATTTGTTTTTTAATGAGAGGAAGTCACTGCCACACTTAGGGCACAAAAGATCTTAAAGAAATATGGATTATAGAGAAAGGACTTTATAGATGATTTTGTCCAACTCCATCATTTGGCAGATGAGTAAACTGAGGCTCACAGAAGGCATCTAATAATAGAACCAGGACTAGAATGGGCTTCTGACGTCTAGCTTTATATAGTGTGGGACCAGAAAAATCTATTTGACTACTGTCTCTACTTCTACTTAGAATGATACTTTATAGTAGTAAAGAGTCTTGAGGTAGCATTAGCATTTAAAGGGTAATTACATATTCTAAAGTTCGTGAATCAAATGAATCAAAAGAAAACTATAATACACTCCAATTAGTTCCACTGAAAATTCACATCCCTCTCTTCTTCCCCTTCTATCTCTATTTTTCTTTCACTGATTTTCTTTTTCCCAGTGCACTACAACTTTTATTACTCTCTACAATCTAGGACATGGTTTTTCTTATAGAAGAACTACCTGTTTTATTGTTTGTCAGACTTAAGAAGTTTTATGACATTTGAGTAGTTATATGAATGAAATTTAACCACCTACTCAAGTCTATCAACAAAGGTGGATGATATAAAGTAGCAATGAAGTACATGATCTTCAGCCAGTTTGAGAAAGTAAAAATAGTCCTCTTTCCATAAAATGCCACTTTTATAATACCGAATAAGAAAGTATTAGTTTCTACATTAAAGATAATTAACTTTAAGGTGCATTTGCAGTATCTCTAACTTGCTGTTTCATAAGAATCTCACGATAAAAAAATCTCTACACCACAGCTTATGTCTATTCCATTGTGCTTGAGTTACAAACTTACAGTTGGCCTTAAAAATGCTTTCTTCTTAGATGTCACCCATGCATGCAATCCGTTAGCTCTGTGATGGTGAATCTTTTAGTGCTTTCAATGACAACAAATAGCCTGCTGTGGCACAAGTGCGATAGGCTCACCGCCACTGCATTAGCTAGTTCTGCCATTCTAAACAGCTGAGTCTATTTACTTCTTCCCCTGCTTCCATCTCTTGCCACCACCACCTTATACCTCAGCCCAAATCACTAATCAGAGTACCTTGCAGTGGTGTGCTATTTTTCTGTATCAACTCTATCACTTCTCCACTAGGACCCAGGGTGCTTAAGTTTTGTTTTAAAAGTGCGTACTTGATTGTCTTGTCTTTTAAAAACCTTTCGGTGGCTTTCCTTTGCCTTCAAAGGGTAAATCTCCAAATTCTCATCATGGCCTGAATCACTTAAGAATTTTTTTTCTTAGAAATGATTCAGCAATTAGGCATTAAAAAGAAAGTAAGGAACAAAACAAAAAAAATCACCTCTTTCATCAGGTGACATGATCCTATGTGTAGAAAGCCCTAAAGTTTCCACTAAAAAACTGACCAGAACTAATAAATATAACAGTTGTAAGATATAGATTTCAACACACAAAAATTAGTTCCTATTACTTTTAAGTATATTACAATTTATAAGTTGAATTTTTGTGAAAACAAATCACTGCACAAATTGTGTGTACTACCAATATTTGAAAAGGAAATCAAGAAAACAATCCCATTTACAATAGTATCCAAAATAATAAAATACTTAGAAATAAAGCTAACCAAAGAGCTCAAAGACTTCTATACTGAGGACTATAAAACAGTGTTGAAAGAAACTATTAAAGATGCCACAAACGATTGGAAAGACATCCTATGTTCATAAATTGGAAGAATTAATGTTAAGATATCCATATTTCCCAAAGAAATCTACAGATTCAACAATATCTCAATGATAGTGTTCAAAGAAACAGAAAAATTCATCCTAAAATTGAATGGAATTACAAGGATCTCTGAACAGCCTAAATAATTTAACACACAATGAACCTGAAGCCATCATACTTTCTGATTGCAAAACTAAACTCTTTAAAGCTAGAGTAATCAAATCAATGTGACACTAGCATAAAAACAGACACAGAGACCATGTAATAGAATACAATCCAGAAAGAAACCCTGGCATATCTGATTCTCAAAAATGGTGCTAAGATAACACAATGGAAAAAGACATCAATAAATGGTGCTGGAAAAACTCAATATCCACACCCAAAAGAATGAAGTTGGACCCTTATCTTGCACCATAAACAAAAATTAACTCAAAATAGATTAAAAACCTAAATGTAAGACCCAAATTATTTAAACTCCTAGAAGAAATCATAGAGAAAAATCTTAATGACACTGGAGATGTAAATGATTTCTTGGCTATGACACCAAAGGTACAGACAGCAAAAGCAAAAACAAACAAATTGAGACTATTATCAAACTTATACTTTTGTCCTTTTGATACAATCAAGAGCGAAGAGGCAACTTACAGGGAGAAAGTATGTGCAAATCATTTATCTGATGAATTAATATTGAGAATACATAGAGAACTCTTAAAACTCAAAAAGAAAAGAATTCAATTAAAAATGGGCTATGGGGCCGGGGATTTAGCTCAGTGGTTTCGCCGCCTGCAAGTACCGAGGTTCAATCCTTGCTACCAAAAAAAAAAAAAAAAAAAAAAGGGCTATAGATTTAGACTTAGACATTTCTCAAAAGATGAAACATAAATGATCAATAAGCATATAACATCACAAATCATCAAAGATCTGCAATTCAAACCACAATGAAACATCATTTCATACTCACAAAATAGTGCTGATGAAGATGTGGAAAAACTGGAACTCTGTACATTCTTAATCAAGACTGTAAAATGGTACAATCTCTACAGAAAACAGTATAATAGTTCCTCGAAAATTAAAAATAAAACCACCATATGATCTATCTACCTATCGCATTTCTGAGATTTCAAATGAATTGAAAGCATGTTCTTAAAGAGATATTTGTACTTCCATGATTATAGTAGTGTAATTCATGATAGCCAAGAGGTGGAAGCAAT